CCGGGGTGGTAGCACCTGTTAGGGTCCTCACTACAGGTAAATAGTTAACCTCTGAAATTGGTCAAGTCATTATGAAAGTCTAAAAATATATTTTAATACCATCAGTGCATTTCTGTAAAAAAAAATATTACCAGCAATGAATTTTTGACGAAAAAAATTATGAACAGCAATACATTTGTCTATATTTCTGAGATTAGATATCATGCACGCTATTTACATGTGAGATCAGGAAAATTCATTGGAAAATTCGTAAACTTATGCTAGGCGACAAAAATCTCCTGAGCCAACCAAGCATAGAAATGAATACAATATGGCAACCAATAATAAGGAGTGCCAAAGAAAAGCGATAATAACGAAAATTGCAATGTGAGCTCTGGTAAAAATATATAATGATACTAGCAAAAACTGCAATATGAGCACTGGTAAAAATGATATGAAGATTAAGTTTATAAGCCCCAGAAATTCATACACAGATGTCCTTAAAGGCGTTGGTTAGATCCAGAGACAGGACCCAAAGAGTTGTGAGTTCAATACCTGGTTAAGGCAGTGGAGAAATTAGAGAGAGGAATTAACAGGAGATAACTGATAACTGACATCCATTAGACATGGCATGTGGAACTAGAATAGTCTAGCCCAGTGAGTAAAGTAAAGCGTTTAGTTCGACATTCCAACCACCTGAAAAAGGCCGGAGCGTACAACGGCCAAAATGTTGTGATAAATAAGGCAACAAAGATGAGGATGATAGTCCGAGCAATATAAATAGTGTTCATAATACCTCATCTCAGAAATATAGACAATAGTGAGCAATACATTTTTTGAAAAGATATTACCAGCAATAAAAATCTTGTCGTCATTAAATAACCTATTGAGTTTGATATGCTGTAGACCAAACCAAACCAAACCAAACCAAACCCAACCAATCAACGCTAAACTGTAGTGCCAGGTGCTAGATCGCGTGTACGACAAAATAAAAAAGGAGAATCCTGCTTTGGTTAATCGAGATCGGGCTTTGTTTCAGCAAGACATTGTGAGTCGACAGATTGTCAGGCTGACTAAAGAGAAGTTCAAACAGATGGATAATGTTGAGATTCTTCCACATCCACCATTCAGTTTCGATAATGACAGTGACTATTGACTATTCTGCTCAATGGTACACATCCTCTGCGATCAGCGACTCAACACCTTTCATGAAGTGAAGGAAGCTTGTTTACAGTTTTTTTTATATTCAAACTCAGCGAACTGGTATCTGGGACAGATTCAGATGCTGGTTGATTGCTAACAGAAGATGGTCGCGAAAGAAGAACTTTATTTTGAAGAATAAATGTTGGTGTTGCTCCATAAAATTTTCTTGTGTTCTTTCCCGCTTCTTCAGATAATCATGACTTTCTGGCCTACCTAATATATATATATATATATATATATATATATATATATATATATATATATATATATATAAAAAAATTACTGAGAGATAACCTGTAAAAAAGACAATATTTATAAATGTAAAAGACAACAGGAAAACTGTAATAGTTGCCGACGCGTTTCGTCCAATGTGGACTTTCTCAAGGCAAAAAAAGAAATGAATTTATTAAACAAAGTAACTAATAATAACAAAACAAAATATCCTTAGCAACCTTAATTCTTAACAGAATTATTAAAACAAATTACAAAACAATTAACAAGACAACTTACAAGGAATAGATGACGGTCAAATGTTGTAGAGCCAAGCGAAGTAAGATCAGTCTGAATATTAATCATCTTAGTATCAATTTATTAATTAACTTATTAATCAACTGTTGAATTCCTTAATCATAGACTATTCAAGGCTATAAGACTGGTAGAGTGTAGGAGGGGTGCTCGCTACTCTACAACAATAATTATCAGACTAAGATAGATAGATATATAGATAATGAACAAACTGAGATAGATAGATAGATAGATATATAGATAATGAACAGACTTAGATAGATAGATAATGAACAGACTGTGATAGATAGATAGATAGATAGATAGATAGATAGATAGATAGATAGATAGATAGATAGATGTTGTATCGTCGAGTTGAATGATACACAGAGAAGTATAAGTACTTAAATGTATTTATTCAACAGCAATATCCGGTGCTAACGGATACATACAAAAAACAACAGAACAATAAATAAAAAACAATTAACAAGACAACTTACAAGAAATAGTTGAGGGTCAAATGTTGTATAGCCAAGTGAAGTAAGATCAGTTTGAATATTAATCATCTTAGTATCAATTTATTAATTAACTTATTAATCAACTGTTGAAGTCCTTAATCGTAGATTATTTAAGGTTATGGGGCAGGCCACCTGGAAAAGTGCTGAAGGGATGCTAGCTACAATAGAGACGATAGTAGCGTTAGAAACTCGTAGCTTGATGCTATGGAAGATTACTCAACGCCGTCATAATGGTCTCCAAATAGATCACATGAAGCTTGCAGCCGGTGCACGTCATCCGTTGATCGCCTTCCCCTGCGATAAAAAAAGCTGTACCATTAACAAAGGACTAATTAAGGATAAATAAAAACCTCTTTACACGTGACTCTGTTTTATCGATTTTTATTTTTATTATGGCATCGAAAGTAAAGAACAGATCAGAAAGTATCCTGAGTACCTTATTAATTATCTATCAAGAGTAGGCGTACAAAGTCTATATATCAAGAAAGTAAAACCATTGCATATTTATATAATTAACAAATATTTATAAATGTTTTGATCATTTGAATATTATCTACATTATAAGATACCATATAACATGAACACATTGCAATATATATATATATATATATAAGTGAACATTTAAAAGTGAACATAGAAGTCAACATAGAGGACAGTCTGTTTCATGCTAGATGCAATCGTCAGGCCACGAGTACTCGTGGCCTGACGATAGCATTTAACATGAAACAGACTGACCCCTCTAAGTGTTGACTTCTATGTTCACTTTTATATTTACACACAGTCTATCTCTGATATTGAGCACTTTATCCCATAAATATACCACATCTTAAGCCTCTCTCTCTCTCTATGTATATATGTATATATATATAAAGAAAGAAAGAAAGAAAGGTACTGACGAAATTGATACCGGCTCTGACTGAGGAATCAGAGAGCCGAGTTCGAATTCTAGTCGATATAGGTTCTATAGCCTTAGATGGCAACTGGTCTAGGATATGGACAACTCTGAATTCAAAACCTGAGGAGGCTCTCTGTATTCGGCTTGATCACTATAGTAAAATCATATGTGCAGCTGCCTGGAAGAGTCCAGTCCATATATATATATATATATATATATATATATATATATATATATATATATATTTTGTGACAAGTTCGAAGACGAGGACCTAGACCAATCCCCAAGAGGATAATGATTGCAACAGATTTCATCGGTTGAAGTAGCGGATGAATATGGCGTGTCGAACTGGTAGATGACTATAGTAAGGTGGTCAAAAGGTCGTCTTAAGACGTTACCGAACCCGCGTATTCACTGCTGAGCGAATAAACAAAGGATGGTTGGCTGGTTCTCCGGCGGAACTCGATATTGAACGCATGGACCGGACCAGTGAACGCTCTCATGATATTACTATATATATATATATATATATGCGCAGTCTTAAGGGACTCGATAAAGTCATGGACGCTGTATTATATATATATATATATATATATATATATATATATATATATATATATATATATATATGAAGAAACACAGTCTTAAGATGTGAACTATATTTGATCCATATTTTTATAAAGTATATCAATATCAGACATAGAAAACTTTAATAGTGTATAAATATTTAAAAAAGTAACTAATAAAAAAAAAAAATGTGAAGTTTTAGAGAACGCTATTTTCATACTGTTAACTGAAATTACGTCAACACTTCAGGCGACAGTCTTATTGTTGTGTTTCATCATTTCTTGATGCAATCGTTAGGCCTGACGATTGCATTTAGCATGAAACAGACTAATGCCTAAAGTCTAAGTAAAATTTTGATTTTAAAATACTTGACTTCTATGTTCACTTTTCTATATATATATATATATATGTGTGTGTGTGTGTGTGTGTGTGTGTGTGTGTGTGTGTGTGTGTGAAAAGTTTTCCTATTGTATATAAATATAAATAAATATATATGTATAATTATTTATATATATATATATATGGTATATTATTAGAAAGCGCTCAATATCAGAGATAGAGCTAACATATTTGGTTGGATAGATGTGAGTTTGTGACCCACTTTTATATATATATATATATATATATATGTGTGTGTGTGTGTGTGTGTGTGTGTGTGAAAGTGTATAAATATGGGTTTCACATTTGGTTTGTGAGTTTGTGACCGATTTAGCGTCAGACAATATATATATATATATATATATATATATCATTTATAATCTTTTAAGAGTAATCTTAAATGATTTATACACATATACGGACATACGTATGAAGGCTTTCTAGAAAAGCTAGGCATTACTTCCCAGCTAATGCTTACCATACTCTTACAAAAAAGCTAACTTTTGTTTCCATGTAATGTTCACACGCCTTTTGATTTTTCTTGTGCAAGAGTTATCGTTCCTGAATACGGCCTCCATTTTGTTTTCACCTCTGCGTTCACATTTACGTTTTGTCATCTTGTTTCTCTGCTTCATGATCTTTTGACAAATATAAAAACTCAACGACAAACAATATTAACCGTAAGTCAAAAACAAAACGATCGTCATAAAAAAGAAAGTAAAAAAAAAGATAAAAAAACAAATCCGTTTGTCTTTATTTTTTATCGTTTGTGCCAAAAACGTCTCTTAAGAGAATTCTCTTTGGTCAGGGAACTGGAGAGTATAAAAGAGTTTCAAAACATAGGGACAAGTGAAATGGGCGGGAAATCGGACCTGTATGTTTTATTCATAAAATCGCCGGTGATTAGAGCTTGATTTGTTCAGCTCGGCCCACCAGCCTAACGCAAATTGGCGGTGATGATCAACTCATTGAAGCAATCTGTCACAAGCATTACCAAGGCAGAAATCAGGAAAATGGCCTCTCCTTTTCACTTTCTGCATTCTCCCATGTTATCACTTCATCCCCCCCCTCTCTCTCTCTCTTTCTATACATTTTTCTCTTTGTCTCAAGTTCATCCATTTCTCTCTATTCCCTTGATAAAAGCACCATTTCCTTTCTCTCCGAAGAATTCTAGCAGAAAACAAAATGCTCCAGATAAATTGTTGCTTTGCTTTTGTTTGTGTACTTTTTTTTGGTTTTTTGACTTAAAGATTTTTCGTCCTTGATTCTATTTTCTTTTCTTTTTTCTTTTGTTTTTTTTTTCTTTTGTTTCTTTTTCTTTTCTCTTTCTTTCTTCAGCTCACTATTTAGGAATGACCTATCAATGTTTTAAAGTCATCATAGAATTTCTAAATTCTTTCAGAGTCAATAGGTCTTCTGAATTTTCTGTCTTTCTTTTTCAACTCGTCTATATCAACATATTCATTCATTCTTTTATTAATAAATTAATTTATTTTTTCTCTCTTTCTTTTTTCTTTCTTTCTTCTTTCTTTTTCTTTCTTTCTTTCTTTCTTTCTTTCTTTCTTTCTAATCCAGACGTTCTTTCTTTCCAATCCAGACTTTCTTTCTTTCTTTCTTTCCAATCTAGACTTTTTCTTTCTTTCTTAACAATCTATATGTATTGATCAGACTTTTATATCTTCCTTCCTTCATTCATTCATTCATTCTCTTTCTTTCTTTCTTTCTTTCTTTCTTTCTTTCTTTCTTTCTTTCTTTCTTAACAATCTATGTACATCGATCATGCTTTCCTTCCTTCCTTCCTTCCTTCCTTCCTTCCTTCCTTCCTTCCTTCCTTCCTTCCTTAATTCTCTTTCTTTTTCTCGATCTTTCTTTCTTTCTTTCTTTCTTTCTTTCTTTCTTTCTTTCTTTCTTTCTTTCTAATCCAGACGTTCTTTCTTTCCAATCCAGACTTTTTTTCTTCCTTCTTTCTTTTCATTTTCCAATTTTCTAGACTTTTTTTCTTTCTTTCTTAACAATCTATATGTATTGATCAGACTTTTATATCTTCCTTCCTTCATTCATTTAATTTCATTCTTTTTTCTTTTTTCTTTTTTTTTCTTTCTTTTTTCTTTCTTTCTTTCCAGATTTCTTTTTTTTTTCTTTCTTTCTTAATCAATCTATGTACATCGATCATGCTTTTCCTTCCTTCCTTCCTTCCTTCCTTCCTTTCCTTCCTTCCTTAATTCTCTTTTTTCTCGATCTTTCTTTTTTCTTTTTCTTTCTTTCTTTTCTTTCTTTCTTTCTTTCTTTCTTTCTAATCCAGACGTTCTTTCTTTCCAATCCAGACTTTCTTTCTTTCTTTCTTTCCAATCTAGACTTTTTCTTTCTTTCTTAACAATCTAATCTATATGTATTGATCAGATTCTTTTATATCTTCCTTCCTTCATTCATTCATTTTCCTTCCTTCCTTCCTTCCTTCCTTCCTTATTCATTCTCTTTTCTTTTCTTTCTTTCTTTCTTTCTTTCTTTCTTTCTTTCTTTCTAATCCAGACGTTCTTTTCAATCTATGTACATCTATATGATCATGCTTTCCTTCCTTCCCTTCCTTCCTTCCTTTTTTCCTTTTCCTTAATTCTCTTTCTTTTTTTCTCGAATCCAGACGTTCTTCTTTCTTTTTTCTTTCTTTCTTTCTTTTTCTTTCTTTCTTAACAATTCTTTCTTTCTTTCTTAACAATCTATATCTATCGACCAGGCTTTCATTCCTTCATTTATTCATTATTTCTTTCTTAAAAATCCCTAACTATCTACCAAATTTTCATTCATTCATTCATTCTCTCTTTCTTAATTTCTTTCTTTGCAGAAAAATTCATGGAAAGAGAATTTGCATATCTCTGATTAGTTTGTACAGTTTAATAATTTTACGAACCACTTTGGATTTTTGCATTTTTTTTTCTGAATATGTTTAATCCTTCTATATTCTAAACTCTAAAAACAAGAATACAAAGTCCATAAGTTCCAAAAAGTAGTCACTACCACCGACGACAGATGCACACCTGACATCAAAATCCCAACATTCATAATCCTCCCCTCAAATACTTTATCAACAAAATTTGAAAACAAACTGTTATCCCCAACATTAAGATCATTACCACAACCACCAAGAAAAGTAAAACCAACACATCAGATGATATGATATAAACAGCCTACATTGTAGGAAGGTCTACAGTGGTGAAACATCTCGGAATCTAAAAGGATAAGAGACCTACTTATAATAACCCTTTAAACCCGCACGGAATACAGAGAAACCAAAACATATCATGAATTAAATCTTATAAATACCATCCTAATTAGAAAAGGGCATAATTCATTACGAAGTAAATACTTCGAGGGAGTTCTCATAAATATTTTTCAATCTATAAGCAGACATTAAACACAATTTACTATACCACCAACCTTTACAAACTACACACTTAAAGAATCTATGTCTACCACAATCGGTGTAACTTAAACTCTTTCACCCTCACACAAAACATCCTCAAATCAACTCGGGAATAACCACAAAACATGAATGAAATGTTAACTATATGCACGCAGACACACACACACACACACACACACACAAACGAATACACATTATTGCCCGATTGTTGAATAGAGAAATTAAATTTTTGATACACATGCACATATGAATTTAACGCACAAACGCTGCTTGAAAGGACAGCTACCCGTGAGGTCTGCTTAACCAATGAAAAACAACACAAAAATATAAAAAAATACCAGAATTTTCTTCTATTCTCGACATTTCATTTTCTGAGGAAATTTTAATAAAAGCGAATCATATACATATTTAAGAGAACAGTGATGTCAACACCCTGACGCGACAGTTTGTTTCCTATATATATATATATCCTATATATATATATATATATATATATATATATATGCTTTCCTATATATATATATAGATATATATATATATATATGATAAACAGTAGTTTAACGGCCTGAATGCCCAGTAAATGTTGTTTAATACAGTTTATTATATCCAGAACATTTACTTAAATATTTGTATCTATAAAAAAATATATATATAAACATAAAAATGTCTTTAAATAATTGTCGGACTAGGTCCATTTCTTAATGTGTGACGTCATTTGTTTACATTTGATACGCCATGAGCAGATATGAATGTACGTGAGATATTCATGGAATTTGAGTTTAAAGACAGTAAATTCGACGTTGCCAACCGAACGATCATCTGTGGCGAAATCTATAAAAGCACCTCAAGCTATATGACGGTTCATGTATAGGATACAGGTTCGAATCCTGTCGGAGGACGAATATTTTCTGTGAAAATGTCTCGGACATTCAGGGCGGTAAATGTTGTTTAATACTGTTTATTATAAACAGAGCATTTACTTAAATATTATATCTATAAAAAGAATGTATAAACATAAAAAATGTCTTAAATATATATATATATGTGTGTGTGTGTGGACGCTGAGGAAGATAGCCAGCGGTCACACCCTGTTACATGTATATAAGAAGGTTCTTGAAAATGCTCGACGCGTATAAGGAGGGTGATATTTATTGAGTTTTTTTTTTTTAAGAAGAGGTTACTTCCATTTTTAAATATTGAATTGTCCAACCCAATATTTCTGACTTGAACGTTTTTGCCCGTCATATAAAAATATAAACATAAAAATAGCAACTTCACTGTTTGTCTCGATTGATTTAATTAGCTACTCTGCATTTTTTCACTTACCGATTTTACATGCACATCTTTCACTGGTTACTCACTTAAAGAGGCCGATGTTTTTTTGGTATTTATTTCCTGAGTATCTACTAAACGCGTTTCTTAAAAAGAAATCAAAGCTTTTTTAGTAAGCCGACTTTTCGCTCTAGTGGCAGACAAGGTGGAATAATATTCTCGTAAAATCTTTTTATTTCTCCTCCTAATTTGAAATATGTTTTTAAATAAACAAAACCTGATGGTTCTATGCGAAAAACGGATAATATTAAAAGTTAGTTGCACTTTGCAGATTATACCGTTGCAAAAAATATTTTACCCTAAAATAAAATAATCCTTTCCTCTCCAGATTTTTAAGCAGGAGTAGAGGTTTATCCCTTGTTTCCGGTTCAGGATTAGGTTTCCGGTTCCTTCGAAAGTCTACTCTATACTTCTAACGACTCTGCCTAAACTTTGAAATCTTAATTACTATTTATTTATTTATCTCAATAGGAGAGGAAAGGTTCACGTATCGTCCGGTTCACACTCCTCCTCATTCTTTCGCACATCCTTGTTTACTGTTTAGGATTATGTTTCCGGTTCTATCCACACACACACACACACACACACACATACATACACATATATATATATATATATATATATATATATATATATATATATATATATATATATATATATATATATATATATATATATATATATTTAAGTAATGAAAATTTTGGTAATCCGTATGGAGGAGGATGAAATTCAGAAAGCTCAACGTTAAATCAGAACGATTAATTCTATGAAAACAGACAACTTTTAGGGTTCATTGGTTATAATTTATTTCCCCAGGGAATTTCTTTTTCCTTGTCTCATCAGACCACGCTTCCAAGGGTGAAAAAGTGAATTTAATTCACATATAGTTTTTATACACGTTTGTGGGTACTTTTAAGTTGATGACAGGTGATATAGAGAGTGGAAAAAGAGAGAGTGTGACATGGTCGAAATCAGAGAGGGGAAGGGTAATATAGAAATGATTTTAAATTTATTTTTATTACAATACTTAATAGTAAAGAAGTGGGGTAAGGACCAGACATTGACCTATTCAGGAGGTCATCCCACAGGAAACGATATAGAGAGAGTACATGTAGGTGTACTTATGTTTTGGCGTGCGACTAAAGTTTCGCTGGATTGCTAGCTCATCCGGCACATCATCTATGTGTAGATATTGTGCCAGACGATCTGGAAAACCTGCGAAACTTTAGTCGCAAATCAAAACGGAGTAACACGTATATGTACTAATTAATGTATATCGTTGCTCTGTGTCACCACACCGAACACTATTATGTTTACACCCCATGTATAAATTTGACGATTATTTATTTGCTTGACCGGTTATGTGCACCAGCACGTGCTCATACCCTTGCTTATATCTAGCCGGTTATATATATATATATATATATATATATATATATATATATATATATATATATATAGTTGTATATTTAGGCAGCAATCCTTCCTTTATGCATGTTTTCATTAAAAACGACAGACAAGGTACTACGGTTGAGTTTTTTCTTTAATTTTTCATGTGTTCTGACAAGAGCTTTCTTTTCTGGACAAAGGTGTGTCCAGAAAAGAAAGCTCTTGTCAGAACACAAGAAAAATTAAATAAAAGCTCAACCGTAGTACCTTGTCTGTCGTTTTTAATGAAAACATGCATATATATATATATATATATATATATATATATATATATATATAAATCAAAGAAAGAACAGATGAAGTAAAAAGTGATCAATACAAAGTTGGCCAATATACGTGTGTGTGTGTTTATATATATATATATATATATATATATATATATATATATATATATATATATATATATATATATCATGGTCAGAAAGCGAACGTTCTCACCACTCAGCCACGCGCCCATATATATATACTAATAGCTGGTCACTCGTATTCGAGGATGCCATCTACTAGACAACTTGCTCAACACCCACAGAGCCCCCCCACCACTGTGGTTTATAATGCAGCTTTGCTGAGCTTAGTTTCAATTTCAACACCAGCACACTCAAGCCCTCGGCCACGATGACTTGTGGCTTCGTCCTAGCACAGCCATCCGCACGCTGGAATCGACCTCGATCAAATTCGATAACATCAGCAAGTCTCTTTCCTGACTAATCATATCTCATGGTCAGAAAGCGAACGTTCTCACCACTCGGCCACGCGCCTATATATATATATATATATATATATATATATATATATATATATATATATATATATATATATATATATAAAACAGATATCGATCAGCGTTGAATTAGACCGGGAAACAGTAGTCTTAAAAAGTGCTAAATGCACGTATAAAGAAAGAGATATGGCAATCATGCTACAATGGTTTCAACCTTTTAGTAACTTCAGGCAATTCAGATACCTGGTCAGTTTTTAAGTTGGTGTCATCTTGGAAAATCCACATGCTGTATTTTTGGGCGTGCGGATGGTGTAATGGATAAATGTTTGAGATGCGCAAAAATAAATGTAAAGCAACGACGGAGATCAGTTTCGCATACGAAGAAAGATTATGCCGAATTAAAGTGTCAAACAAAGATAAAATAATTTTATTATTTCTAAATTCTTATACCTTTTACCTACATAGAACGCTGAAGGTAAATGGCCGAAATTCCCCTCCCCCCGCAGGAGCTAGCCTAAAGTCAGCCCGAAGAGCCGCTTCTAGGCTAGTTATTAATATGAGTAGGTCTTTAGTAAAGAACACTATAATCTGGAGACGTCACAGCTAATCTAAATAAATATCACAATCTTGTTTTTTTATATAAATTTTTTATGGAAATTCAGCATTTTAGTTTCAGATATAAAATATTTTATCAAGTGCTTTGCTATTACTATGCTGAGCGGTGAGCCCATTGGTAGGCCAAATTTTATTCTATCGAAATTAAGGTTTAAAATTATATAAAATTAGTTTTTTATGAGTCAGCATATTCTTATAAATTTGTCCGTTGGTAGAGGTAAGTTTATTTTTTATCTTTATTTTTATCTTTATTTCATTTTATTTCTTTTACCTTCCTGTCTTCGTCGTTATACTAAAAATGTTGTATTCTCTTCTTCTTGATGGTGTTCAATGTGTCTCCGTGGCCTTTTGGGCGATGAATTATTTTCAACGCTACACATACAGAGATTAAAGGCTTGCTACACTGCGTCTGTGAGGGAAAACACTGCGGATTGTCGGACAAGACATTCCCCCACAAGACTGCGTAAACGGTTTGGAACGATCAACACTGGAGAATGAGAATTGAACATATCTAAACAAGAGGTGACAGCAATGCGCCATTTTGAGCCTAATCCGACTCTTACAAAACAAAACAGATAAAGATCAAATTAATATTCGTACCTACAATACATTCTGCTGTTTATGAAACGAATCAAAATATATAAAACGGGGAAGACAAAATGCTATAAAAATTCTTTTTTTTTTTATGTGGTGTCTGTGTTGCAAAAAGCCTGAGGAGCTAATCTCAGTTGTCTCATAGATACATTTCTTTCGTACCTTTAAGAGTGTTGTACGGAGACGGGGCGATGTGGCATTAGTCAGAGCGCCTGTCTTCATTAAGCGGCAATAAAGTGCTGCAGATATCTTTATTTCAATAAAAGCAATTGGCACAGAACTTTGCCCTCTGATGTGATGTGAGTGGCGGCAAGGCTTCATAGATTAGGTTACAGTTAAGGACATTCAGTCGGCAAATGACGAAAATCAAATGGAACGCCTTAACGCTCAACCAAACAGAGGAATTTAACTGGAAGTGTGCGTACAAAACCGCATGTAAAGACAATGTACATTATCTATCTATCTATCTATCTATCTATCTATCTATCTCAGTCTATGCATATCTATCTTCGTCTGTTTATATCTATCTATCTATCTATCTATCTATCTATCTATCTATCTATCTATCTAAGTCTGTGCATATCTATCTTCGTCTGTTTATATCTATCTATCTCAGTCTATGCATATCTATCTTCGTCTGTTTCTTTCTATCTATCTATCTATCTATCTATCTATCTATCTATCTATCTAAGTCTGTTAATATATATATGTCTATCTATCTCAGTCTACTCTTATATATCAATCTCTGATTTTCATTATCTATCTGCGTATCAGTCTGTTCTTATGTATGTATATATATACCTATTTTAATTTTTTTATATTAATCTCCGTCTGTTCATATCTATCTGTCTATCTATCTATCTATCTATCTATCTATCTATCTATCTATCTATCTATCTGTTATTATGTATCTATCTATCTATCTATCTATCTATCTATCCATCTATCTATCTATCTATCTATCTCAGTCTATTCATATCTATCGATATATCTACCTATCCCTGTCTGTTCATATCTATCTATCTATCTATCTATCTATCTATCTATCTATCTATCTATCCTGTTCATATCATTTCCTTTGCCATATATTTAGTTTTTCCCACTGTTAAACTTTCAGTTTCTTTACATAAAAAATACTCGATCAATTCTTATTTCGACTGTAGCAAATGACATCTTGGATTCTGTCTGAATTTCTGGAATGAGAAGTTACCATTATTTACATTATTTTACGGATGGTCAAATGTCACCATCTTTGTTGTCATTATCACAATTTTTTGGCTACCGATTCCAGAATTGCTGTCTGTATGTCTCGGATAAGCACTTATCATTATTTACATTACTTTTCAGGCGTACGGCTCTCCGACCATCATAAAATGTCTGTCTATCCGGGCAGCATTTAAGGAAGTTTACCTGACAACTTTATTTAATATTCTGAGTGAGACTGTTCTAGTTCCGCTGACCATATCGTGGAGTAAAGAGACGTGATATCCCAAGCAGAAATATCCGGTGTTCATTCATTCATCGCCAGCCGGAAATGCTACATTCGGTTTTAAAATCTTCTATTAAAAATGTTCAGGAATATAGGTGTCTCAAGTTTGCTGTTATCGCCTTTGCCAGTATCGACAAAGACATTACGGGAAGTTTAAAATATAATAAGCATTTCAGAAAACTTCAGTCGAAACGTTGTTTCCCTCATGATAATGGCAATATTAGCCGTTTCCTTATAAAGAAAAATTTGGTATTCATTGACCAAGCAGCCAATGATATATGGGTTAAGCTTTTTTTTCACTCCTTGGACACCGGCTGGGATCAAAGTGTAGTATCTGTTCTAATCTGTAATGGTAATGCCAAGGTTAGCCATTTCATTATAAGGAAACTTTCAGCATTCATTGAACGAACAGCCAATGCTACTTGAGTTTGCTTTTCTTCACTCCTTGGACACCGGCTGGGATCAAAGTGTAGTATCTGTTCTCCTATTCTCTAATGGCAAGATTAGCCATTTCCTGATGAGGGAATTTTCAGCATTCATTGAACGAGCAGCTAATGCTACTTGAGTTTGCTTTTCTTCACTCCTTGGACACCTCCTGGGATCAAAGTGTAATATCTGTTCTCCTATTCTCTAATGATAATATTAGCCTGTTCCTTATAAGGAAATTTTCAGCATTCATTGAACGAGCAGCCAATGCTACTTGAGTTTGCTTTTCTTCACTCCTTGGACACTGGTTGGGATCAAAGTGTAGTATCTGTTCTCCTAATCTCTAATGGTAAGATTAGCCTTTTCCTTATAAGGAAACTTTCAGCATTCATTGACCGAGCAGACATTGTTACTGTCGGTTGTAATTTACAAAACCGTTCTATTAAAATAAATATTTAGGAAATTAGTTTTCTCAAGTCTACTGTTATCACTTTTGATGGTAGGTGGTGGGGGAGTCTTTCCATACGTTTTCTTCGAAGCCGTGTGAAATGTCAACGTCTTGATTATGCCATTATTTTCTCATCGAGTTGCAGGTGCTATCCATTCATGTGATTCTGTAGCGCCAGTCCACGAGGCTCATGTAGACATCACCAAATCAGAAATTATCATAATTCTAATGTCGCATTCACTATATTACTTTGCTATCTCTGGGCCACACCAAATCAGAAATCGTTATGTATATATATATATATATATATATATATATATATATATATATATATATACGATATTTTTTAAATTGTATGAATTTCTGGGAGGAGAGAAGAAACTGTTAGCATAGAACTTACGGTTACATCTAGCCATTTCAACTGTAAAATGATGAGACCTTGCTACCAATCTGAAAATTAATTAAAACAACTGCTTTAGTTTCCTTTCTTTCACCATACGGTCAGTTTTAGACCCTCTGGAGTGACAGAGTGTAATCGATTTTTATTTTTTTCCTCAGATTAGTACATTTGCAGTGGTGTGCAGTAATATGAATCTATTTTCGGGGTGTATGATGAAACTTGTTTGGCCTTGAAAATTATTGCGTCATCCGTGATTACATGAGATTTTCATCACTCCCAGACACTAATTATTTTCTCGACTGTCGATTAGTTGTCCTACGGACTTTGTTTGCTATAGACGTTACTCCGAGGAAGCGTATAAAAATTGTAACGCTGCACGAACACACTGACAAGCCTTACCAGTGAGCAAATCAAAATAATATCGACTGGCTCGTAAGCTCTCCAGATTTAAATCCAATCGAGAATCTGTGGCTAATCTGCAAGGAACGACTTCGTGGAATTGACATACGAAGTACTAACATATGCAATGTTTCATTGAAAAAATACGAAAAAAGTAAACAACGGAATTATTCGTTTTGTTTCACTTAATTTGCACAAGGATCTAATGAAGACCAAAGTGTTGGAAAACCGAATCCTCTGAGCTGTGCGTCTAGACACGTCAGACGCCAGAAAGTGAAAAAAAAATTAGCATCACGAACCGCTCCTTAAGAGAAACGGCACAAGACGATACCTTCCCGATCACTACCATCTTAACCTGATCAAGTCTAAGATTAACCATTACCTCCCCTTATAAACTGTGCTCCCTATAGTAATCCTCTAATTCGTGTGGCTCTTGGGCCTTGTATATGGCGAACCAGTATTTAAAAAATCCTCGCGAATTCAGAGTTGCCCTCGCCGTCTAATTATAATCAAGCTTTACATGTATATCCCCATATATTTGTATAACTACATTAATAAGAAAATTACTTTAGTCTGATGAAGGCTTTTGAGGAGACGAATCATGGTATAATGATTTTTTTTACATATTTAATTACACTACATTGTTCTGGTATATAGAAATTTATGTATCGTGTTCTTTAATACATGGCTTACGGCCGTATCACTTTCAAACATCGGTTCCAGTACAATCCCCGAAGTTAAGCAGCATCGAGCCTGGCCAATACCTAGATGGGAAACCACTTGAGAATATCAGGTGATGTAAACTTGGATGTGTGGGTAATATGGCTTGCAGTCTTATCACGTTTGGTTATATATGGCACGGTGGAGTAATGGATAGCGGCTTGGCTTGCGAGTTCGAATTCCAGTCGAATCCATTACATTCACTTATCACTTGGGAAAGGTGTGAATCCTCTACTTCTCCCTCCAGCTATGGGTAAATAGCAGGACTATATTTAGTCGTCCCCCCACGAGGGCGTCATGTGGCACAAGGCCTTTTTAACGTGGGCATTTCCGAGCCATTTGAACCCGTATAAACGGGTTCAGGGCCGGTTTTACCTGCCCGAAGGAGACTCCGCCCTTCGGAGTAGCCTCCTTCGGATTCCTCTCTGTCCGTAGACAGAGAGTTGTACCGAACAGTCGCTCAGAAAGTGGGTTCTATAGCCTTGGATGGCAACTGGTCTAGGAGAAGGACAACTCTGAATTCAAAACCTGCGGAGGGTCGTTTGGGGACCTTGTGGCACGTAGTGCTAAAAGTCTCTGTATTCTGCCCTTCAAAAAGTGTGGATGGTCCTGCACGAAACCTTCACCACTATAATCAAATCTCATGTGCTGTTGTCGGGCTGTCGGTTTCCTAGGAAGTGATCTGCTTGACCCTCATACGTCGAAATCGACGGGGTCGAGTATATATATATATATATATATATATATATATATATATATATATATATGTGTGTGTGTGTGTGTGTGTGTGTGTGTAGAGAGAGAGAGATAGAGAGAGAGTTGGGGTGGGGTTATCACTAGGTAAATATATACAGGCTTTTATCGAAGTTAAGGTAACTGCATATTTGAAATTGCAATTGGTCATGCGAGCCCCAATGTTTTTTCAGAGCAAAGATAAACGCGGGAGGGCCCGCAGCGGGTATGTGTTTAATTTGTCAACAAGTTTATAAATCTGGTCATAAATTCACGAGACCTTCAAAATTGAAACGTGTCTATGTTTGGGTGTGGATAAAGAATAAAAGCATAAGTGCGTATCATTTCTCAGGAGTTGATACAGTCAGGTGCGCCCGTCTCAGAGTTATGTGCATTGACACCTTCCTTTTCATACCACTGAGTCTGAAACTACATTCACATACACAGACACACACATACACACGCGCACGTGAGACCGCTGGCTACAAAGGAATGTCTGTTCTATTTTAATTACAACGGATTTAACAGAAGAAGCACTCAAATCATACCAAAATGAATTCAAATGTCGAAGGATTTCAAATCGAGTCCTCATCAATAATAGCTGAAAAAATGAAAGTCATAAAAAAAAAAAAGCAAAATTTCATGAAAAGCGCGTGTAAAAGAATGTTAAATTCATGAATACGCACGGTTACAAATCGAAGTAAAAAAGCGGATTGAAAAAGACATGGGATAAAGTGAAAAAAATTAAAATAAATGGAAATACCGTTTAAAACCGCAACCCCTGAAGACTGGAAATTTTACCAAGAAACATCGATGTCGGGACAAAATTGATATTTAAAAGTTAAATAATATTTTTACACGTGCACACACACACAGAGACATATATATATATATATATATATATATATATATATATATATATAGAAAGAAAGAACAGTAAGATATATAATCCGGTGTTCTCATAGATATTTTAATTTTTACAAAATAGTGCTCAATGTAAATTTACAGAGAATTAATATTATAAATTAATTGATTTAAAATATGTTTTTTTTCGCTACACAGTTCTAACCATGTTTCAAAAATGGAAGCTGAAAGCTTCGAATTTAATTTTGTAATTCAATTAAAGACATTAGTTCCATTTCATTCTCAAGCGAATTTTGGAGTAACTTTTAAAATTACTGGGTTTTAAAGAAACAGAAAAAATCATAATTCACGTTTCCAAGAATACAGATGAATCCATTTTACTAGACGAGGGGTGTTTGTGAGTTCATTATCGGTGTATTTTGATGTATCAGTTATTAATTACGTTTTGGTAGGGGTAGGGATGTATTTTTCAATGAATTCTGACATCCGCTAAATGCATGTCGTCTGGATTTTAAAAAAAAATTATTGTTAACGGCAAAAAATCCTTCGGCATTTTTTCTATTTTATACTTAAAGATTTTTGTGGGGGAGTTTAGGTTAGAATACTTTTTATTTA